GTCTTGAATTGCGAGAAGTGCCACTTCATGGTTAGTGAAGGTATTGTCTTGGGGCATAAAATCTTCCGAAAAAGGTACTGAAGTTGATAAAGCTAGATTTGATGCTATTGAAAAAATGTCATGTCCTACAGATATCAAAGATATAAGAAGTTTCCTTCGTCATGCTGGTTTCTATAAGAGATTTATTAAATACTTCTCTAAAATTTCTAGGCCTCTTACTAATCTCTTGCAAAAAGATGTTATATTTGCCTTTGATGATGATTATGTAGAAGCATTTGAAATCCTTAAGAACGCCTTAATTTCTACACCTATTGTTCAACCGCCTGATTGGAACCTACCCTTTGAAATTATGTGTGATGCTAGTGATTATGTTGTTGGTGTTGTTCTAGGACAAAGAGTTGATGAAAAGTTAAATGTTATCCATTATGCTAGTAAAACTCTAGACAGTGCTCAAAGAAACTATGCTACTACTGAGAAAGAATTTTTAGCAGTTGTGTTTGCTTGTGATACATTCAGATCTTCTATTGTTGATTCTAAAGTAACTATTCACACTAATCATGCTGCTATTAAATATCTTATGGAAAAGAAAGATGCTAAACCTAGACTCATTAGGTGGGTTATCTTGCTACAAGAATTTGATTTACATATTATTGATAGAAAAGGAGCTAAGAACCCGTAGCAGACAACTTGTCTAGGTTAGAAAATGTTCTTGATGACCCACTACCTACTGATGATACCTTTCTTGATGAACAATTAGTTGTCACAAATGCTTCTCGTAGTACTCCTTGGTATGCTGATTATGCTAATTATATTGTTGCTAAATTCATACCACCTAGTTTCACATACCAACAAAAGAAAAAGTTTTTCTATGATTTAAGACATTACTTCTGGGATGACCCACATCTTTATAAGGAAGGAGTAGATGGTGTTATTAGACGTTGTATACCTGAGCATGAACAGGAATAGATCCCACGCAAGTGTCACTCTGAGGGATACGGAGGACACCATGCTGGTGATAAAACTGCACACAAGGTATTACAATCTGTTTTTTATTGGCCTACTCTTTTCAAGGATGCTCGTAAGTTTGCATTGTCTTGCGATGAATGTCAAAGAATTGGTAATATTAGTAGACGCCAGGAAATGCCTATGAATTATTCACTTGTTATCGAACCATTTGATGTTTGGGGATTTGATTATATGGAACCTTTTCCTTCCTCTAATGGGTATATTCATATTTTAGTTGTTGTTGATTACATTACTAAGTGGGTATAAGTTGTTCCAACTAGTAGTGCTGATCATAACACTTCTACTAAAATGCTTAAAGAAGTTATTTTCCTGAGGTTTGGAGTCCCTAGATATTTAATGACTGATGGTGGTTCACACTTTATTCACGGTGCTTTCCATAAATTGCTTGCTAAATATGATGTTAATCATAGAATTACTTCTCCCTATCATCCTCAGTATAGTGGTCAAGTAGAATTAAGTAATAGAGAAATAAAGTTGATCTTGCAAAAGATTGTTAACAGATCTAGGAAGAATTGGTCTAAGAAACTTGAAGATGCACTATGGGCTTATATAACTACTAATAAAAACCCCATGGGTATGTCTCCGTATAAAATGGTTTATGGAAAAGCTTGTCATTTACCCCTTGAACAAGAACATAAGGCTTATTGGGCAATCAAAGAGCTCAACTATGATTTCAAACTTGCCGGTGAGAAGAGGTTATTTGATATTAGCTCACTTGATGAATGGAGAACCCAAGCTTATGAAAATGCCAAGTTATTTAAAGAAAAGGTTAAAATATGGCATGATAGAAGGATACAAAAGTATGAATTCAATGTAGGTGCCATGTCTTGTCGTACAATTCTCGTTTAAGATTTTTTGCAGGAAACTTCTCTCTAAATGGGAAGGGCCTTACATTATCGAGGAGGTTTATCATTCTGGTGCCATCAAGATCAACAATGTCGAGGGAAATAACCCGAAGGTGGTAAACGGGCAAAAAATCAAACATTATATCTCAGGTACTCTCATAAATGTTGAAACCAATATTATTAATACCATAACACCGGCGGAGTACATAAGGGAAACCTACCGGAGTGCTCCAGAACTCTGAAAAGGAGTAGGTATGTGGTACCGTAAGTAAACCGGCTCCAAAACTTTTCCAATAGCAATTTTACTCCGTTTTGGAATATTTAAAAAATTGGGAAATTAAAAAGTAGTCCGAAAAGTGCATGAGGAGGCGACAAGCCTTGGGGCGTGCCCTACCCCCTGGGCGCACCTCCCAGGCTTGTGGCCACCTCGTGTGCCCTCTGGACTCCGTTTTCTTGAAGGATACTTCTTTTGGTCGGTAACAATTCATTATATAATCTCTCGAATGTTTTGACCACCATACCACGACATTATCCTCCATTCTTGTTTCGAGCTGTTTTTCTGACAGAACTAGATCGCCATGTCGTCCCCAAGCGCTCTGAAGTACAAGATATTCGAGAAGGTCATCAACCCCTACCTTGCGGAGGTGCTGCAACACCCTCAAACCATTGAGATGCATGAGGGGTGCTGCACATCCGGGATGTTCAAGGGCCAAAGAAGACCAGAAGCGTGGAGACCAGGCTCGAAGCGATGGAGCAGCAAGTCTTCAAGTGCCAAGGGATGGTGGAACATGGACTCAACGCCAATCACTTAATGATCACGAAATTTACCCATGATCGCAAGCTAGACGCCAAGAACATCGGGGAGTCCATCTTCAAGCTTCATGAGAAAATCGAGCATCTCCAAGCCCAGATCTATGACCTCCAAAACCAAAATTGTGAGTATGAATACAGATTTAAGAGGATGAGTTCGGCTGCAGAATTGAGGATCCCGGAGACCTGTTCATCTTTTTACGATGGTGAACCAATGCCTTGGAAGATGGAGGACAAGCTTCCCCCATCATCATCTTCATCATCACAACCTTTGAAGAAGGAGACTTGAGTACATGGGTATGGGCACTCCCCTTGGCTTGTGCCAAGCTTGGGGGAGGTGCCCGGGTATCGTATCATCATCACATCTTTACCTTTATCATTTATCTTAGTTCGATCTTTTGGTTATATCTCGATTTAGTAGAATAAAAGTTTTTAGCATGATCTAGTCCTTCAGTTTTACTTCGTGATCTATCTTTGTCATCGAGTGTGAAAGTTATAATAAAGAGTAGTTTTGAGTAAGGGCTTTGCTTTCTTGCTTTGATCTTAAAAAATAAGAAAACAAAAAAGAATTAAAGAAATAAAAAGATTATATGATAATCTTATGGAGAATGATGACTTCACATACAAGAAGTATGAGGTTTGAAACTTGTTGTGGGTCATTAGTGTCAAGTATTCCTACGCCTCGTCCCACTGTTGTAGATCCAACGCCATCCTCTCCTATGATTTCTTCTCCTCCCTCATAGCATGACTCTCCACCTTCATCATCGATACCTCCCCCTTCTCCACCTTCATCATCGATACCTTCCCCTTATCCACCTTCATCACCGATAAATTCTCCGTCTCCACCTCTGGTGATTTCACCTCTTTCCTCCTTTTCTTTCCATTAACTTGTGGTCCACATGTTGTGGATGAGTCTACTGATGTGCCCTCTACTTATGGTGTGTCGTCTTCCTCCTCTCAACCGACTTATGGTCTTCGTTCTCGGCCTTGTTCGCCCCCTGATCGAGTTCTCCTTCCCTCTATGGTCTTTTCGACTGTGCTTGAGCCGACTTCTTATCGAGATGTTGTTGTTCATCCTGAATGGCAGAGGAGATTGCTTCCCTTGAGCGCACCGGCACGTTGGATCTAGTTTCTCTTCCCCGTGTTCGTCCTATCACTTGCAAGTGGGTCTATAAGATTAAGACTCGCTCCGATGGTTCTCTTGAGCGTTATAAAGCTCATCTTGTGGCGTGGCTTTCAACAGGAGCATGGTCATGATTATGATGAGACTTTTGCTCCTGTGGCACATATGACCACTATCTGCACACTTCTCGTTGTGGCCTCTGTTTGCCACTGGTCTGTGTCACAGCTTGATGTTAAGAATGTCTTTCTTAATGATGAGCTACGTGAGGAGGTTTCTATGTAACCACCACCTGGATATTCAGTTCCTGATGCCATAGTTTGTCGTCTTCGTCTCTCTCTCTCTCTCTCTCTCTCTCTCTCTCTCTCTCTCTCTCTCTCTCTCTCTCTGGCCTTAAGCAAGCCTCCCACGCCTGGTTTGAGCATTTTCCTTCTTTAGTCACTACACCTGGTTTTCGGCAGTGCTTAGGATCCAACACCGTTTGTCCATCTTTCTGCTCGGGTCGCACTCTTCTTCTTCTATATGTTGATGACATGATCATCACTAGCGATGATTCTGAGTGCATTGCCTTTGTCAGGGCATGTTTTAGTGAGCAGTTTCTTATGTCTGATCTTGGTCGGATAGAGGTTTCCTCCACCTCTGATGGATTTTTTTATTTTCGAAGAAAAGTATATCTTGTCCATATTCTGAGTCAGTTTGTTTCTGCTCCCACTTTAGTTCACTATAGTCACCTTCTTCGTGTTCTATGATATCTTCGTGGCACGATCGCTCATCATCTCTTTTTCCCTCGTTCCAGCTCCATGCCTATTCGGATGCTACGTGGGCTAGTGATCCTTCGTATCGCCGTTCGCTTTTTGCTTATTGTGTTTTTCGTGGTGGTTCTCATTGTCTGGAAGAAGGAGAAACGGACTGCAGCTTCTCGTTCGAGTGTAGAGACCGAGTTGCGAGCTATGGCTCTTACGATGACAAAGATGGCTTGGTTATGATGGTTGCTGGAGGATTTTGGTGTTCTGTTACGACACTTACCACCCTCTTGTCAGACAGTACATGTGCTATCAGTATTGCGCGGGACCCCATGAAGCATGAGCTTAACAAGCATATTGGTGTTGATATTTTTTTTATGCGCGCTGCTGTGCAGGATCATGTTATTGTTCTTCAGTATGTGCCTTTCAAGTTACAGCTAGCAGACTTCTTCACGGATGCCCAGACTAGAGCGCAATATGAATTTCACCTCTCCAAACTCTGTGTTGTGGATCCACCATGAGTTTGAGGGAGGGGTTAGAGTTATACTACCTCTCTCATGGTTTTTTAGTTCCATATGTAATATGTGCTAAAATTTGATTAAAGATTTAACTGACAAAATATTAGTACAGGTCAACAAAAATTATATCGTTGGATTCGTATTTGAACATAGTTTTCAATGACGTAATTTGTGGTGACATGCATGAACATTTTGTTAGTTAAATTTATGGTTAAAATTTGACATAGATTACCATGAAGACCAATAAACCAAGACGGAGGTAGTACTATTGATGATGGTCTTCGGTGTTTTGTATTCTAGATTTTTTACATCCTTTTCTACATGTATATACGCTGACTTTAGGCTCGTAACAATATTGAGTTGCTATTCCTAACAGGCTAACAGGCGCGTGCGCGAATGCAACGCAAGTACGTGGTGCGTGTTGCACCCACACTCGTGACGGCGTCGGCATGTAACCCAAAACGGACCGCCATTTTTGACACAGCATGTGCATGACCATGTCCATCCAGACACACTATCACCGGTACTAGCAGCCAACGTAGCATGTGCACGTGATGGACCAGAAGGCTTTCCCCCATGGCCGCCCCGCCCGGACGGGGTCACATGCGAGAGCGAGACGAAACGAAGCAGCGCCGCGCCAGTTTGGCATTCCATTCCGTTTGACCACCATCCCCACCCCACGGGAAGGGAAAAAGCGACGAGGACACGCATAACATACATAGCTGCTTTTGAGGCAGCCAAAAGCTGGTGGTGTCTGCTCGCTCGGCTCAGCGTGCAAAAAGAGATTCTGTGCGTGCTCCCGCGACGTTTTTTTGGGCACACTTGCACCACCACCCAAGCCTGCAAGTTTGTTTACTCAAATCGTCTAGGCTGCGAGGAGGAATAGGCTCGTAGCAGCCAGGTCATGTGATCGCGGCTATTTTCCTCCTCCTGCTCCTTTGATCGGCGCACCCTATTTTTGTCTGCCATGCTTTGTTTGTCTGTCCACTCTCACGGACATTAGAGCAACTTTAACGGGGCGATTCGTCCGCCCATGTCCCTTTAGGTCAGCGCGGACAAAAACATCGGCCCAACTTGCCGACCCATTTTCGGCTGCGCCTGAAATGCGTCGGTGCGGACGCCAAGTGAACACGCCGCACGTCTCGTCGGTTTCCGCCACGGTCCCACTTGACGCCACCCAACTATCGCCCATCGTCTAATTTATGACGACCACCAACACCGGGCCCACTAGTCAGCCAGTGGAAGCATCGTTTTTCAACCCAGCGTGCGGCGGGGAGGCGGCCTCATCCACTCCCGTCCACATCTGGCCCCCCACCACACCCCTTCGTGCTTCCTCACCAGCGACACCCTAAACCCTAGCAATGGGGCCTCTTCGGCAGCAGCTCCGGCAGCGGCAAGAGCAAGGGCACCCCTGGCGCCTCATCCTCCCGTGCTCCTCCTTTCCCTCCTTCTTCGCCGCCGGCACGTGCCCGCCCAGGTCGGCAGCGTGTGCACATCTCGGTGCACCAAGCGCGGTGGCACTGAGAGTACAGGCAGCCGCTGCCTTACCCCGACGTGACGCTGCCGCATGATCCGCAGCAGATCCCGGTGCCGGCGGTTCCGCGGACACAGCGGGCGCACGACGAGGAGGTGCGCAGGCGCCTGGCGCAGCTCACGCCGGCGTAACGGCGGATGCCCGAGTACGACGCCAACTCCCCCAACTGGGAGGCCTGGTTTGCCCTCGAACAAGAGGAGCAACGACGGCTAGGCGTCGACGCCAACTCGCAGTTTCCACCGCCGCCCCCGCGGGTAGAGCCGGAGGAAATGGAGGCGGAGGCGGAGTACCAAGTCGCCCTCGAGGAGGCCCTGCAGCACGCGCTGGAGGGTAGCCGACTCGAGGAGGACGCACATTAGGGCGGGTTGGAGCAAGCCCTTGCCTTGTCGGCGGCAGGGGACTCCGTCCACGCCCCGCTCTTCGACCCGCCTCCGCCATCGCTGCCGCTGCCCATCGTCGAGCCCAAGTTGGATCCGGAGCCGATGCGAAAGCGCTCGCCGCCTCCATCCACTTGGCTGAAGGAGACCTACACGTTGGAGTTGCTCTTTCTACGTACTCCCTCTGTTTCTTTTTAGTTTGCATATAAGATTTGTCAAAGTCAACTTTTGTAAAATTTAACTAGCTTTGTTGGAAAAGATATCAACATCCACACTATGAAATCAATAATATTAGATGTATGATGAAATTAATTTTCATAACATATAACTTTAGTATTGAAGATGTTAATATTTTTTCTATAAAGTTAGTCAAATTTTACAAAGTTTGATTTTGATCAAATCTTATATGCGGCCTAAAAAATTGGAGGGAGTACAATTTGATTATGGATCACGATGCGAAAGCAACCGCGCAAGGTTCCTCTGCGAGGAGAGCTTTATGGCCATCTTCTCTCTGCTCCAATCGTGGCCGTGGCCGTGGCGTGGCGGAAAACACCGTCCACGGTGCAGACAAAGGTCAAGAGGGCGAGTAATAAAAGCATGGGCGCAGTGAAGCGAGCACAGGAACCGAAGGCGCAAAGCCAGGCAAACACTGACACCCTCCCCCACAATTAATTACAAGCTGCTCCGGACGGACCTCGAGACGAGACGAGACGGCGCACGCATTGGATGCCATTCTAATCTCTCCTCCCCTCCCCGCCTCTCCATTATCGGAGGTCGGCCAAACCCCCCTTCCATCCCCTTCCCTTCCCTTCCCCGGCCAAAAACAAGCAAACAAGTAACAAAAACCAAACCTTTTTCGTCGCTCCCCCGCCGCTCTGGTCCTGCGCGCTGGACCGGAGCGCTCGCCTGCCTTCCGGAAGGGGGAAAGTGGGACTGAGAGAGAGCACACCAGAACCAGATGGCCCCGCTCGCCGCCCGTCGGTAGCCCCGGGCAGACATTGCCGTCTCCCTCTTCCTCCTCCCCGGACAAGAAGTAGAAGCCGCCGGGGGCAATGAGGAAGCACGGGTGGCAGCTGCCGTACCACCCGCTGCAGGTGGTGGCGATAGCCGTCTTCGCCGCGCTGGGCTTCGCCTTCTACGTCTTCTTCCTGCCCTTCGTCGGCAGCCAGACCTCCCAGTACGTCGCCATGGGCCTCTACACCCCGCTGGTGAGCCCACCCACCTTCCCCAACCCCCGCCCCCTCCTCACCAGCAACAGATCCGGTGACTCGCCGGCGGTGCAACAAATTCCCTGCAGATTACGTGCGTCGTCACGCTCTACATTTGGTGCGCCGCCACGAACCCCGGCGACCCCGGCATCTGCAAGTCGGCCAAGCTGCACTCGAGGATGGACAAGGACGGGCGGCAGTCCCACTCCCACATGGATTCGGACCACGGCCTGAATGCCGCTGACAACAGCGAGAAGCTGAGCAGCATGCTCGAGAGGAAGGACTCGCCTTCTTGGCCCAGATGCTCTCAACTGCTCTGCTTAGTCTGCTTGCCCTTTTCCTGCCTCTGCAAAAGATGCCTCCGTTCAGATGACCGGCATTCTGAAGAGAACATGAGTGAGGAGGGCATGTTCTTCTGCAGCTTATGCGAAGCAGAGGTATGACATGTCCAACATTATTGAGCAATTTCGCAAAGTGTTGTCTTCTACATGTTTCCACCAAGTTGTGCTTAGTGTGCCAAGTGCCAATGAATTTGGACTAAATGTCAGGATATTCGATGTAATTTTAGAACTACTGTAACTTACTACTGATAGGTTGTAGTCAGACATACAAGATGGTGTGTAGTAGTTTGAATCAAATGTTATTGCTACATTAGGTAGCTCTATCTTACGGGGAATGGCATGACTTCTTCACCTTTTCTGCGACATGTTATTACAAACCTTCGTATGTATTTATGTAGGTTTTGAAGAACAGTAAGCATTGCAGAGTGTGCGACAAGTGTGTTGATGGCTTTGATCACCATTGCAGAGTAAGATACATTTTCAATGTCCTCTGCCCTGTTATTCATATCCCTGCTTCCTTTCAAGAATGCGACGTTCCTATTTTCCCTGATGTTCTTGCTCTCTCACAGTGGCTCAACAATTGCGTTGGGAAAAGGAACTACAAAGGGTTCTTCATTCTAATGACTTCTGCTGTTCTCCTGGTAAGTGTGGGCCTCTCTATGAGTTGACCACAATGGGATCTGAAAATGAAAAGTCAAAAGAGTGTAATAAGTTGAGAACAATGATAGCTACCCTGTAACTGCATTCACCTTCAGTTGCTGAGATGGTGAAATCATAACTTCATAGTCATCATAACTTATGCAACCAACTAGCAAGTGCTTGTAGTTAGATTTTCTCTTTCCGTGTCCCTTTTATTCTGGTTGATCATTGACAGGTCTCCATGGTTTGTACACCTTGGGCAGCTTGTAGTGCAGTGGTTGTCAGGAACCCTTGTGATAATTCTCTGCATTGTGAAGCGAGGGGAGTTCTCAAGGCAGATTGACTCAAAGTTAGGAAGCAGCTTCTCAACTGTAGCATTTGTAATTGTCGTGGTGAGTTTATATAATTTTCCTATCCAATACATGCTTACCGCACTGAGGCATGAAGCAAAAATTTATTTACAGCGTTGAATGTTTATATTACATATTACTATTCTGATGATGATACATTTTACTTATTACAGGCTACTTGCACCATACTAGCAATGATCGCGACTGTACCGCTTGCTCAACTTCTGTGCTTCCATATTCTTCTTATCAAGAAGGTAAATCACTTTGAGACTGTCACTGAAGCTGTGGATTTTTTTCATTGTTTCATTTCGAGACAGGGAGAGGGGGAGGGAGGAGGGTTCCTCATCCTAAATTTTTGAAATCAAAAGACAGCTTCCGTGCAAAACATGTTTGGCCATAATTTTGCTATTGCTTCATCCTTACTTCCATCTAATCCCAAACAGAGTCAACTCTTATTCCATTTTTCTTTTATTGCCAATTCTTTCGGCATATTTGTGGATGATAAGACAGCAAACGGTGACCATCTCCTTTAACTGAATTCAATGAAGTCAGAAAATTATCTGTATGTTGCCAGAAAGTACAATTTCCTCAACCTGTTATGTCATGGAAGAGAAGTTTGCATTTGTTCATTTTAACATGTCTTTTTCCCGTATAACTTGAGGTTAATTACTATCCTTCTCATATTGATTTAGGGAATTAGTACATATGATTACATCATAGCTTTGAGAGAGCAAGAGGAAGATCAGCAAGAAGAGGTTGCTGGTCACCAAAGTCCGCAGATGTCTATCATTAGTTCTGTTACTGGATTTAGCACAGCAAGTTCTTTTGGTCCTCTTCATCGTGGTTCATGGTGCACTCCACCACGATTATTCCTTGAAGATCAGGTATGTGACTACAAATAATCCATTTCTACCGGGAGCTATAGATAATCAAGATTGAACACAGATCCTGGATGTGAAAGCACAGCAAAATATGATGCACTCTCCATCCATCTGTCAGGGTCTGGTTCGCATCAATTTTCCTATGAATAATTGGCTGTTGTTTCGTCATAAATGAATTATGTCATTTGCTCTCAGTATGAAGCAAACTACTGCCAGATATATAATGTGATTGCCTTTTTAGTTTGAAATAACTACTTGAATTTGCACCTGCTCTCATGTTGTCCTATCAGTACAACAATAAAGCCTTTCAGTCCCCAGCATGTTGTCAGATTAGTAACTATACAAAATTTGGTTTGAAATAATGTAACAATAGAATGGTTTATTGGTCTAAACCAAAATTAAATTTTGAATACCCACAGTTAGTATTGCGCCAAAGCTCAGGAAGCTCAACTGGTGTTGAACAACAAGTACTAAAAAATATGAAGACATTTTCAAACATGTGCTGATGCTTACTGTTCACATTTTTCCTGCACAGTTTGATGTCATCCCTCCGGAGATTGGCATGTCACAGAACCCTGGAAGCAAGAAGATGAAGATACCGGAAGGAGCAAGAAGAAGAAATGGAACGGTAAAAATCAGCCCCTGGACACTGGCACGCCTCAACGCCGAGGAAGTGTCAAAGGCAGCCGCCCAGGCAAAGAAGAAATCCAAGATTCTGAAGCCTATTGCAAGACAAGACCCTCCGATCATCCATGACAACAGGAGGGGGCGATTCCCTGCCGAACTCTCTCTCGATCCCCTAGCAAGGCTATCCGCAAGCGGCACCGAGAGCAACTTCAGCGATGCGGCAATGGAAGCTTCTGCCAGTCTAGCCCCACTGCAGCTCGAAGCGAGGAGCGCTTTCCAACCAAGCACCGCGGCATCCTCCAGAATCGCCGTCTCATCGTCTGAGAGCAGCTTCGATTCACCTGATCTCCACCCATTTCGAGTTTCTTCATGCACCGCCGACGAAATGCTGGGAGTTATTACGCCGCATGCGGCTCAGAGCCACATCGAGTTCACAAGATCGACGAGCGACGGGTATGAGGCGTCGGGAGGCGAAGACAGTGACCGCATCCCGTCGAGAATCGTGCACAGATCGTCCAACTGGGCTAACTCGCTTCTGCATTCCGGTCAGGCTGGACCGGCGCCTGACCAGCACATGCCATTGTCTGAAGGGTTTCTTAACAACAGCAGATCAGGCTAGTTATATGTGCTCATCTGACCAACAAAAATGGTAGGAAGAAGCTGCGTGGTGTTGGTACCCGGAGAATCGCTGCATATGGCAGAGCAAAGCTGGGAAAACATTGGTTAATTTGTAATCTAGGGTTAGGTTTTGTTAGTGGTGATGTTAGAGCAATGCTCATTTGATGTTAGCTCATGCAAACTGCTAGTGTGTTGCTAACAGTAGCATTCTGGTGTGTTTCGACAGATTGCAGTTGTTAAGCTAAATTCAGTAGAAATTGTCTGATGATCTATCTCTATTACCGCTCATCATCTTGTGTTCGTTACGTACCAGACTATCAGTGGTACGGCAGATTGACAGATACCTTACCTGCCAATCGGTTGCCGGTGATTATATGATGTGATCTACCAATGGCAACCTTGCATAGCAAACAATGGCGCTACTGAATACTGAATCATACGAGCACAGTGCCCCATTCCAGCAAGCAAAGAGTGAGCACAAATTCCTAAACTCATGTAAGAAGCGCCAAACACAAAAAGAGAAAAAAAAGAGAGAAACCCACAAAGTTACAAAGTTTGTATGAATCATGAATTAATTTCAGTTCCAGCACATATTTGCCTTTCTTCAAGCTATGAAGTGCGCACAAAAATAAAGCAAACACAAGCTCAAGACTCGAGAGAACGGAATATCTATATCTGAACATAAGTACAAAAGAGACAGAGAGGATGTAGCTTCTACTTCAACAGCATCCCTCTACAGCTACATATTTGAATCGTACGGGCGCTTATGAAGTTTCTTCAACCCATACCATGGGACAATTTGCATCTTGGTCTTTGATAAAACCATCCGGGGGTGTAATTTACAAAGGACAGTCGCCAGTAAGTAAACAGGTAAAGGGAAAGACCAGGATGGCATAACTACTTGCTGTTGTCCCCAGGGAAGGAAAAAACTTCAGCTGCTACATCAAAAGAAACATAGCGCGAAATGATACTACACCGGCACTCGTTTCCCTCTGTAACGGTCAAGGAACTGCAAAACAAGGGAAATCGGACTGGTCAGAATATAGATCAGGCCTCGTAACTCTCAGCAACAAAAAGGAAATGTCTGTGCTGTGAAATCCATACCGAAGTGACAAATGGTTGTTGAAAAATCCAGCCAAGGATAGGAATCCTTTGCAGGAAAACTGCGAGAGTTGGCCAGAATCCACTGCAATGGAATGCAAATCAGTGTCCATTAAACATTCAACAAAACTTGTTATCAGAATAATGGATTTTCTAGTGAACGCATTGGTTTTGAAGATACTATCAGCATAGCATTGAATAACCTTTACAGGTTTTGTCCAAACATAAAATGGCAGGTTTTAATCAAGCGAGAAACAACGAAAAAATCAAACCTGAAGAGTACGATAAAACCATATGCCTCTAAGAGCATGCCAAAGAAAGGCCATCCAATGAGAACCAGGAAAAAGCCTGCGCCAAATGAGATGGTACCCTGTTCATTACATCTGTTAATTATATGATGTAAATGTTGATGGAGAACAACCAAAACAAATTAGTTGTTGCCGAACCTTGTAATTCTTAGGCTTTGTGAAGAACTGCATTGTTGATTTCAGACCGATTGTCAAACCCAAACCTGACAGGAAGAGTATCTGAAAGAATACATGAGAAAAGGTTAACCATATGCATACTAGTCAATTCATCTATTGAGAAGGTCAAGGAGAAGATTGAGAAAAGGAAATTTACATTGCCCATAGCAATAAGCCCCTTGTCAAAGAAGAAAACGATTCCCAGGAAGGAGAAGAATACTCCAAAGCCTGTCAGGCCTAGCCCTATCTCTGATGAAGATAAAATGCATGTCTTGTTAATCATCAAGTGAGAAGAACACATTGAAGTCTAAGCTGCAAAGTACATAACACATTGTACCTAACATTACTTGTATAATGTCACTAAAGCAACAACATAAAGCATCGGTGGACCAAAATACCAGAAACATCCGAATTTAAAGGGTTGTGCTGCCCACAGCTAAAAAGTCCAACAGCTGATCATTCGCATGTACTGAACAAGCACGATGGCATCACCAGTAGCCAATTGGAGACTGGAGCAGACCATGGAGCTGGCACCATGTATAGTGCTGGGAGTAAAAAAACATTTCTAAATAATCCAAGTACCATTACCCCAAGACAAAATCTACACTAATCTACATCTTATAATTTCACTCTTCCTACAAGGCAGACCCAACTGGTACGATTTCGTCCTAGAGTTTCATATACTGGTCCAGCTCAATAGCAACTAGCTATATGGTAATATCATATCTACACAGTTGTAGAAACAAACATAATAAACCTCTGATGTATCATAGTCGATTGGGATACTAAGGATAAGCATTGGGATACTAATAAATATTTGTTGGGAGATATGACATACAGGGTACGTTTCGACACTTCCAGTCTGATAATAAAAATAATCAAATCATCGGAAAAGCAACATAACTGTGTACCACAAGCATGACGGATAAGCTAACCTTTAGAAGAAATAGAATGCCCGGACTAAGTAATTTGTCAGTGTTTGTATCATTTGGTGGCATAACTGGAATATGGTAAGACATGGAGTAGAAACAGATAAGAAAACCTAGACCAGTTCTACTTCTAGTGCCTAGCGCAAGTTGAAAAGAATTGTGCCAGGTGCATACTCTTAAGGTCATTCATCTCAAAGGACACCATCTTAGACGGCACTGGTGAAGAAGAGCACACGAAGTCCTGCAACTGCAAACATGTAGATATTAGACAAAACTTTGTGCAAATTAAACAGGACCGTCAGCAAGACTTAACAGAGCTCCCGAAGAGCACCGAACCCTAAGTCAACAGGATCAGCGATCGCCATAAGTTTCAAATCTAGAGACGACATGGCATCTCGGAGCCTCAGTACAGATCAGCAACCCGATGAGCATGAATTGCCTAACTCGATACACGGAAGAGCGCGCAATTTTGCGCCGGAGGATGGCATCAGAAAGCACTTGTAAGGGGTAGTATGTGATAAACTAAGATGAAGTAGTCTAAAGCGAAACGCCGGTCCAATTCAAATCGAGCCGACGAACTCTCAGAATTTCGCCGGGCAAATCCAGACCTAAACACGAACAGCCCCCAGATGACCCCGCCGCGTGCCGAATCGTAGATCACCACCGCCCCGCAGCCACGGATGGCACCTAATCG